GGGAGAAATTTTATGAAATACAACAAGGGCAAGTGTAGAGTCTTGCATCTGGGTAAGAACAACCCCATGTACCAGTACAAGTTGGGGGCTGAACTGTTGGGGAGCAGCACAGAGGAAGGGGACGTGGGGGCCCTGGTGGACAGCAGGATGACCATGAGCCAGCAATGTGCCCTTGTGGCCAAGAAGGCCAATGGCATCCTGGGGTGTATTAGAAGGGGTGTGGTTAGTAGATCGAGAGAGGTTCTTCTCCCCCTCTACTCTGCCCTGGTGAGGCCACATCTGGAATATTGTGTCCAGTTCTGGGTCCCTCAGTTCAACAAGGACAAAGGACTGCTTAAGAGAGTCCAGCGCAGGGCCACAAAGATGATGAAGGGAGTGGAGCATCTCCCTTATGAGGAAAGGCTGAGGGAGCTGGGTCTCTTTAGCTTGGAGAAGAGGAGACTGAGGGGAGACCTCATTAATGTTTATAAATATGTAAAGGGTGACTGTCATGAGGATGGAGCCAGGCTCTTCTCAGTGGCATCCAATGATAGGACAAGGGGAAATGGATATAAGCTGGAACATAGGAGGTTCTGCCTAAGCAAGAACTTCTTCCCAGTAAGGGTAACAGAACACTGGAACAGGCTGCCCAGAGAGGTTGTGGAGTCTCCTTCTCTGGAGATGTTCCAAACCCGCCTGGACACTTTCTTGTGTGATCTAATCTAGGTGGTCCTGCTCCAGCAGAGGGATTGGACCAGATGATTCTTTGAGGTCCCTTCCAATCCCTAACATTCTGTGATTCTGTAATAGTAAATGAAATAAAACAAAAATAAATTAAATAAAAATTAGTTGGTAATAATAGGCCAACAGAACGTGGACAAAAGATTGTTTGAAAAATAACCTGGGTCACTGTCTTCGTATGACACTTTTATTGCCAAATAGTTAATTTATTGTATGCATTGGGTGAATTTTAATGTCCGCAACTGCCCCATAAAAACAAGATGTTGCATCTCATGAACTTGCAATGTTTTCAGTAAATATAGCAGATTAATTCTACAAACATGTGACTTCCAATCTCATTCCTGTTGGGGAAGTTACTTGCTGGTGGTGCTGCATGAGCAGTTCAGTGTTGCCTGTTTATGTCGCCACCTCTGTGCTGACCTGTATTCCTTGCATGAATCCATGTCAGGAGCAGCTTTATACCAAGGATTTTGGACCCATGATGGCTTCTTCCCTGTCTCTTTCCAAACATGCAATGAAATAAATGTCTTAACGCAGAGCTTTTCTTCATATCTGGACTGTAAGACTTGGTATGCAGGCTACCCTGTATATCTTTCTAAATCACATGGGTCAGTGACATGCTTCTTGTTACCTGTGGCTCCACATTTCTAAATGAAGAACATTTTCTACTGTCTTTATGGTCTGTCTGGGTTCTCATCCATTCCCACCTCTCTCCTCACGGGTTTGTGTGCTTCTTTTGTTAGTGTTCAAGATCATGTGGTGGTGGCCAGCAAAAGCGACGTATCTACTGCCCTGAAGGCGGCTACTGTGACTGGACAAAAAGGCCTAATGCCATTGCGTCGTGTAACAGGCAACCTTGTACACAGTGGATTAACCAGGAGTGGGGCCCGGTAGGATTCAGTTCTTCTTTGGTTTGATTGTTGTCATCAGTTGGCCATATTTGGTCATATGATCCACTTGTCTGTCAACCTCGGTCCCTATGGCAAGTATAGTTTCTTATGCGCAGCTGGAGCTACAAAGAAAGATCTTTTGAAAATAATACTAAACATTTCAGAGCTAGCCCATCTCTGTTCCTCCAGTAGTCAGATGTTTGTTGCTGCATTAGATGTTGTTGGATGGAGGGCTGGGTTGGTATTTTTTTTCCTTTTCTAATAAAAAGGGAGTTACCATTGACATTTTTCCATTACTCATTTGAAATTTTCCACTGGAAGAGGCTGCTGGATGGTAAATTCCATCATACTCACTTAGATATAGAATAAGGTAACGTTTCAAGAGGATGGCAGGACAGAGCATTTTTAGAGAGGGAGGGAAAAGGTTGAATTGCTAGTAGAAGCCCCTGCTACACATCTAGCCGAATCCTCCCAAGTACAACCAGGCTATTCGATCTGTCTGTGCTTCCAGAGCCTCTCCAGTAGTTGTAATGTTTTAATGTTCGAGAATATTTGGAGAGGAGGGCAGGGGGGTGACCCTTAAAGCAGCTTTGTGGAATATTGAGTTTATCCACGCAAACAGAAATTCTGAATTTTGACCAGTAGCCCTCTACTTTGGCTTCTGGAAATCTAATTGATAAATATGGGGTCTATCTTTGGGGAACCTTCCGGTATCTGTAATGCATGTTTAGTTATAAAGAAACTGGCATATCTAATAAACCTTTCCCTCCAGTTTCCTTAATAAGCCTATTCATACGTTACAAATAGTCCTCACAGCAGAAGAGAACATTGAAAGAACACCAAAAGCCAGGAGCCACAAATAAGAAAATAAAGGAGAGTCATTCAACGCAGAAAATTTAATGATTGCTTTTGACATAAAGCCATTAGGTGGGATATGAGTATAATGTAATGTAGATTTAAATATGTTAAAGAGTTCCACACTTAAATATGGAAGTGAAATGTTGGGACATGCATAAAATAAGCAACTGAATGTATAGCAGATCTTTTACTGATTTATTAATCCCATTTATTACACTTTATAAAAAAAAACTATTTTAAACATTAATCTAAAGTTGCCATGAGGGTACCTGAGATCTTTTAATGTATTTCACACCAGTAATATTGTATCTTATGTGCAGAGACGTACATTAGAGAGAGGATAATTTGCAGAAAAAATACAGAGGTAGCAGTCCTATCTTCATCTCTTGTGCTTCATTAGCTGACAGGCTTTATCTTGCATGCCACTATTTATCTGAAGAGAAAAAGAGTTTAAAATTAACTGGAATTCTCAGACGTCAGAAGGATTAAGCACATTTGCAGAATAGTACAAGGACATGTTTTGAAAATGCTCTTTTTCATGGCCATCTGTGTGCAGCCATAACAAGCAGCTGGCAGTTGTTTTATGGTCGTAAAGAAAGGGTAGCCACAGTGTAAATGTCACCAAATTAAAAACATCTCACTGAGCTTTTTTGAAATCTTCGGTTCGGTCATTTCTAGACCTGACATTGCAATTGATTATTTGTGTTTAATTTAGATGGTGAGAAAGCACAGGAAGCAAAACATGTCAGTGTGCAGTACTAATTTGTATTACTACTCTCTTACTTTGTAGGACTTACATTGCAGATCATCCTTCTCCTCCCTCTCTTTAGAAAACAGTCTTCTTACCCTGGTTACCCGTTTGAAGATGCTGTATTTGTACTATTCACCCCACCACCATATCCTGCCACGATGCACTGTGGAGATGTCTGTATGGAGAATGCAGTACACAAAATACTTAAGTGTCATTGGTTCTGGATCATGTGGCATTTTTAGCTCTCTGTCACATTACAGCTCAAGTATTGGTATGTTACACAATTTTCATGTAAAACACATTTATTTATGTTAAAATTACTCTCTTTCAGTGCACCGTTTCTTGCGGAGGAGGCATTCAGCAAAGAACTGTGAAGTGCATGAATATAGAAACTAATGAAACTGAAGATGACAGTATGTGTGTGGATAAACCCAAGCCCACAGATTATCAGAAATGCAGTCTGCAAGACTGCAGGAAAATTACAGGTAAGATAATACACCTGCATCCAGCAGTTTCCAAAAGTTCTCCATTTGTGCTGAGATTCTGCAAAAACTAGGAGCTGACCCCATTTATCAGCTTGTTGTGAATACTACAGGCTCTGTTATTATGCTCTGCCTGTATCTGCTTCTGCTCAGCTGCACCGTTGGCAGAATCACGTTGTCATGTTCTCCAGCCCTGCTGGCCTTGTGTTGCCATGATGGGAAATGCAGTTCTCTGAGCATGCATCCCTAATTTATGGTGCCCCAACTAAATGAAGAGGTCTGCTTGTATTGACCTGTTTTAGGTAATTCACAGGCTGCTTTGAGGGCTGTGGAAGGACATGCTGTGAGTCCAAACAGATGCTGTTTCTGAAGGCAGATATCGCTATGGGAACCACAAATTCTGGACTGGGAGTACAAGCAAGCAAAGTGAGGCAGACACTGTAAGAAAAATCTGGCTGGCAGTGAACGCATGTGCAGTCTCGGAACTATGAATTCAGCGTCTCACAGGGTGAGACTGTCTCCAAAATGAACAGGTGGAGAGGAGTGCCCTTGTGACTCAGGGTGTGCTGTACCTCTCTCCTTCAAGGGCCCAGGAGCCAGATGGCAATAGCCCAGAAAAGAAAGGGGTGAGGGAATCTTACAGAAGGGTATCTTTATCCCTGTTTGTGACAAATGCAAAGCAGAGGAAAACCTGAATCTCTGTACTCTGTGTGCTGCAGTATCCAGGAGGTACGCTAAGGTAAGAACAACAACAGCTCAAAGTCCTTCTGGAAGAGCCTTTAATGGCCTTTTGGAGAAGGAATCTTTCCTGTTAGCAAGTCAACAGTAAGAGTCCAGTCTGGCAATGAGACAAGAGCTTGACTCCCAAGGACAGTGCAGATCTGACATACGCTTGGTAGTGATGCATCACTTCTGCTGCTGTGCAGTCACACCTTTTGCCCTAGGGTTGATTGGTCTGCTTATCTCCTGTCCCTCTCATGTTCAGAAGGACTCAGAAAAATACTACCTACCCCGATTAGTAATAGTTATTTCTGTGAATGGAAGCTCAAGGGGCCAGTAAAACATAAAAATGTCCTGCTGAGTAGACCAGTGGTTCATGCAACTTGATATTGTGTCTCCAGCAGTGGCATTAGAAGGTGCTACTTAGAGAGAATACAGAAGCTCAGTCCTTTCCTGTGATTTGTTTCCAGGGTCTTCCTCCAGCATTCCCAACTGACATACTAGGCCTACTAAAGGCACCCTTTTTAGTGCCTTTTAGTTTAAATTTGTGAAACTTTGTCCATGAATGTGTTGCATCCCTTTTGGACCCTGTGATGTGGTCTGCTTCCACCCTCTTCTGTTGGCAGGAAGTTCCAGAGGTTCACAGCCTGCTGTGAAAAGTGCTTGTATCTGTTTTGAACTAAGGTTATACTAGTTTCATTGAGTTTCCCTAGTTCTAGTGTTGAGGGATTTGCTGAACAAGAGCCTTGCATTTGGTTAATCCAACACCTTCCTGCTTTTGCAAACCTTGACTCTCCCCCCGCAGCCACCTCTTCATACAGCTGAGGACCCCCGTTTTGTAATATCTAACTAAACCTAGCACATCTCAGTTTATTAAAGCTACCACAGACCTATCAGCACCATAATACAGACGGTACCAGTCCTTTGCTTATTCTAGTGCTGCAGAAATTGAAGCGTAGTCAAGCTGAACATGTCATTTCCTCATCTGTGCTCTTCTGCCTGCCCTGCCTTGCCCTGCCCTGCCCTGCATGGCTCTGCAGCACGCTGCCCGCCCATCGTGCTTGTCTTAAATGTGGTGTTACAAGAGTGCGACAGCACCAGACTCACAAATCATTGTTGCTAGACTGTCTCTGGCAGTTCTTGAGAGCGGAAACATTAAAGTGAAAAACATAGATCAGCTATATCTGTTGCAAAAGTGAAGCCTCACTGAACAATAATAAAAAAGTGCTGTTTTCAAAGGCAGGAGGTTCTGTGAAGGTTAATAGGACCTGTTGACTTAAAAGTCCTAAAATTTCAGGGGGATCAAGCTAACCCGTAGTACAAAGGAGGAGAAAGCCATCATAAATAAGAGCCTTAACAGGCATGACTGTCTGGCATAAAGCAGTTTAAAATTCTAGAAATACATATAATTTGTCAGCAAAATATAGCTAATTCCTTTCATGTTCTCCACCACAGGGCTACCTTGCAGCAAAGACCAGTTGTCGGTTCACTTCTGCCAGAGGCTGAAGGGCATTGGCAAGTGCCTGCTGCCATCAATACAGACTCAGTGCTGCTTCACGTGTAGTCAGCCCCGAATTCGTAACAAAGCAAGATACGGGGATCAGCGAGGCCTCAAACAACAAAATTACACTAAATCTAGAAGAAAATCACCTCAGAACCAGGAAAACAACGACCAAGCTGCTCGGCTCTAGCTGTTTTTTTATCTAGTTGCTTCAAATAGGGCTTCTGTTTACAGGTTTTACATTACTTCTTTTTATTTTCTGAACCATCCAGCATAAATGGAAATCTGTGACCAAAACTGGGAAAACACATCCCTTACGGTTATCAGTCCGAATTTACTGCTTCAAATTTTTCTCTGTAAAAGTCCAAAATTTCTAATGTAATTTGCGATGTACCAGCAGCTAGTACTTCTTAGGCATGCATAGAGGCTAGAAACAAGCTTGCAAGAATTTGGGGATTTTTTTAAATGAATGTTTTACTTGTCCTTTCTTCCATCTCTTTTCTGAAACCCACTTGAAACAGCAGCACCGCTTACTCAAGAGTGCTGAGTGAGGGCGGCCAACAGGGAAGCAGACACAGATCTGTACTGTGGGCCAGATCCCTCTATGCTCACTCACTTTTCTGTTTTTTTAGGAATCGAGGTGAAGTGGCAGTGTTTCTGTAAATTGTTTGCTCACTTCATAAATTTAAAAGTAGAGTTTTATAATAACTAATTATGATACTCGGGCCGAATTGAAACATTGGGTTTTTCAAAAGAAAAAATGTTCATTTAGTACTTGACTGAACGTCTAAAGGATACCTCAGCAATAGCCTGTCCTGGCCAGTTTTCTTCAGCTGCAAAAGTCTTACTCTAACCTCAAAACCCCAACAAATATGGGATGTTAAGTTCCCAAATATGTTTTAAGCAACATTTCTTGGTACCGTGAAAGCAAGGCTGTTTGCATCTACCACCCTGATAGACAGATTATAATTCACACTAATATTCCATGGTAGAGTATCATTTAGTCCAGTACCTCCTGGTAGAGTGTAAGCCCACATCCACATGAGTACTCTTATCACCTCGCTCACAGCAAACTTTTCCTCCAGTGCCAATCCTTGACCACAGTGAGGGTGAGGGCACTTGGGACAGGAGCCTGAGACCCAGAGTGTGTGCACAGCTCTGGGCCTCAGGTGTTAGGAAAGCACTACCCTATATCTGTTTTGCTATTGAAGAAAACAGCAGAACAAACTTTAGGGAGACCAGACTGGACCCTTTGAAGCAAAGCTGAGCATTTTCAAAAGAGCTGGGCAGAGTCTGACATTTAGATGTCTTAGAAATTCTATAGGATTTGGGCACCTCGGTTCTTCATGCTCTTCTGAAAATCTCAGATTTACTCCCTAGCTACCTGACAATTTGACACTGTAATACAGGGAAATGTCACATTTTATGCAATGTACAGTGAGACACACAGCCATGAATCCAAGTGTCACTATAGTTTCAGAGCTGTGACTATCAATAGCCCTATTTCTAGACAGATCTTTATGAAAATTAATAGAAATATTTGGGCCTGGCTATAATGTATTAGCCTAATGAAGGCCACAAGTCTAATTGTCCTTTTTCATAGGTTTGTGGCCTTAGGCTAAGGGCTCACTTCTTCACTTGAAGTCTCTGGAAGTTCAGGATATGCAGCATGGTAAGGTTAGATTTATTAACCTCTGTGATGGCAATATAACCCCAGTTATAGGTGCTGATAAAACTTAAAATCCACTGCTAAAAACATGGTGCTAGTATAACAGATGCGGGGGATGACTTCCAATGGTGCGTGTGCATGCATGTGTGTATATAGCACACATGCACATACTCTTAAAATAATACATGTCTGTGGTGTTGCTGGCCAATGCCAGGCATAATGCTTTTTAAGTTTCACAGTGTGCTTATGTCCTCCTAAGGTCCTGAATGGCTACTGACCCTCTGAGCAATAGAAATCTGGGCAGTTCTACTCCACTGGACACAGAAACACTGAATCATGTGAAGGAGTGGAGGTGGCCCATCTGATTCAGGAGGCGTTTGGGCAGGGCTTGGCCTCAGGCTGTGTTGTAGAGCAGAGCCTCTGCTGCTACGTCCAAGGCAGTTCTTTGATGGCCAAACAACCTAGAGTGGTGGACAGTGGAGACACTTCTGATGTTTCCCGAAGCATCTTCTAGGATTTGAGCAGGACGAAGTTAGATTCACTTCAGAGTCAAAATCTTCTGTGCGCAGAGGTACCTACAACATTTTATCCACAGAGGTCAGCAGAATTAGACCATCAGGTATGTGGACTGGCGATAGAGGACTGACTGAGTGGATGTAGTGCAGGTCAGAGGAAAAGTGCCTGGGGGAGTTGTCCTTTCCGGTGCTCCTTATGGCTAATGTGGAGTGTAACCATTTCTGGCTTTGTTGTTTTCTTCAGGGAGCTGTTATTTCATTTTAAATGGATTAAAGTGAATAAATTAAATTATGGACATTAATCAAAATAATCTTTCTACCCAGGGAAGCACGGTCATCACTGTTGCTCAGCTTAAAACTTTATGGAAAAGACTGTGACAACAACATGAACTGTTTTAATAGAGCAGTGCCACTGCTCTGTTTTACATAAGTTCTCACATCGCACTCATCAGCCTAATATCTCCTCTATGCTAATAATATGTGCAGTCATCTCTCTCATCCATTTACCAAGGTTCATTTCTTATGGCATAACTCCTTTTAAGTAAAGGTGGATTTATGATCCTAACCCAGTTGATCACTATTCTGAAAACTGAGTAGAGGATTAAGTGCAGAGCTGTAATATCATTATATTATCGTATTAGCCTAAGACACATCAGCTTCAATGGGTTGCTCAGGAAAAAATGCGTATTTGGCACATTCACTGCTTGTTCTAAGATTTCAAGGTTTAAAAAGCAAACTATGATGACATATTTGTTTCAAGCTTCAATAAATGGCATTGCTAATGTCTGATGTCTCTGGTATTTTATGTTTCCGGTGCAAGAAGATTCATAAGATGGAATTCCAAGGAAAAAAGCCTTAGAAAGCATCTTTTCTATTCTAGGGGAATCCTCATCATTGAGGTACTTTGATGCTTGGTATTCTGATATAAAAGAGATAATTAAAAAGGGCGAGCGAAAAGCGGTAGATTAAAGCATGGTGCTAAGTAAAAATATGTATTAATAGGCTTAGTTATTTCCTATGAAATAGTTGACATCTTACCACTTCTAGCCCAAGCAGATGTGCCTTAGCTCCTTGGCAGCAGATGTGTGCATGCCTATTGTGGGATGTATTTGTTTTCCTGAACAGTTGTATAAAATATGATCATGCCCACTCCCTCACCTCTCACTGCGCCCCAGAATCTTTTCGATACTCAAGTTTTGCAAGTACTGCTGATGCCCCCTGATGCCCAGAAACTTGTCACACTAACCCTCTTCCTGGACGTGCAGTCCCGGAGAGACAGTTAGGCATATATGCTTGCGTAGCGAGCACCATCAGTTTGCACTCAGTTACCAAACTCCACCTGGGCATCTATCCATGGGTTCAGCCTCGTAACACCCTATGGAAGTTGCAGGAAGCTTCTCCTCCTTGCTTCACAAAGTGCGGATCTCCAGCCCACAGAGGCAGCATCCTGCACATGTGCAAGGGAGAGGAAGGAATTGAATTGAGAAATGAGTTGAAGCTCCCTCTGCTTTTGCAAAGGCTGTTTAAGTGTTCCCTGATCACCTGCTGCACAGCACACAGCCTGATGAGCAGTTTCTGCTGCCTGTTGCTCTGTGTGTCATGGCTTGCTGCAGTTCTTTGGCCTAGCCAGGCATGCCGCACCCGGCAAAGGAGCTGCCTTTTGGCTGCCTAGCATCAACTCGAAATGAAATCAGCATGCAGGGAAAACATGCGCTTGTGGCTCTAGTGATTCCCTCCATAATTTTAGTAGAAATAGAGTCCCTAGAGTGTGGGTGGATTTAAGCAATCAGTTGTCCATTTTCCCCAATGACTTCTGTACAAAACCAGTTGTCAGTCAGTGGCTGTATCAGTTTTATGGAAATACATGAGAACTGCTTGATATTACCTATGCTTAAGCAGAATTTTATGTAATGTAGATGTAGGTATCCAGGAATAGCTACAGAGAGAAGTTATTTACTACGTTTCATAAGTAACCACTGACTGTCTGCCAATTGTTATATATGCAACCTCTATCTGTCCATCCTACAAGTAGTTTCAGGGCACTCTGGGATCCAGGACACTGCTCAGTGTCACACACAGTGACAGCAAACTCTACATCATGTGTGTCTCAAACTGTCAGGTACTATCCTGCAACTCTCTGTTATGGTTTGAAGTGGGGGGGGAG